TTATTATTCTTCTTATTATATTTTGCAAAGACGCTACGTTGGTAAACTAATATTTTACTGTATAACAGGAAGTGTACCAATAGTAAAAAAAACAATTGTTCATAAATGTGTTAATATAATTTTAACGGTTATGAACTCTTATACTTTTTCTTAAAATTAAAACAATACTTAAAAATCTGAAACAGAACAGTACTCCATATGCATATATGCACACGGGTATTCTCATTCCCTTTTATAACACGACAACAGTGATTTACTTGTTGTACATTTTGGCGTTAAATCCACTGCGATGGAAAAACTTTTTTTTTATTCATTTTTTACCGTAAAGCAGTCTGTGGGGCGATGGAGACAACAACAGTAATAATGTCTGAGTAGCGTGCTCCAAGTTACAAAGTATGTGAAATGACTACAGGTACGTGTTATACTTATTCCATTGATGTATAACATTATATAGTATTCCAATGACATTTCACTCGGATGAATTTGCGAGTTTAATTTCTGGCAATTATAAATTATAATATATAATATCACTTAATGTTTGTAATTGTGTAATTATATGGGCATAAAAGTTGTGTACATATATTGTTGTATTTTATTATTATTATTTTTTTTTTATTGTAATATATTCTATATGCATTCTATTCCGACAAGTTATTAAAATACAATGCACGACACAATTCAGTTAACATACTGTGTGTGTGTGTTTTATAAGTTACGAACGTAGGTATAGTCATATTATATTTAATGTAGTTATTTTTCACGTGTTCTAAACGCACAGGTATTTTCTCATGCTAGGTTAATTAACATGATGTTATACTACAACTACATCGGTCTACAATATAATATAATATTTTGTAAATTCATAAACATAAAATTGTAAAACTCGCGCTTTGTAAATTATTATTAATAGATGTTCCTCTTCTATTTATTATATTGAATTATTTTTTCGAAGCAGTGTCATTTTAAAAGTGTACGTAATTTTACTCATTTTATAAAATAATAGTCATTTTTTTTAATTTTTTATAGTGCAATTCCTGAATATAAAATGATGTTAATATAACACAATATATAGGACAACATTTTACGTACTTAAAGAATAAAGTCACGGATTGTATTTGACATGAATAATGTACATTTTTCGGTTGAAAATCAGCATGCAAAGAGTTTTGCTATTTTTACGGTTAGGTACATTTAATTTTTTTTCTCATAAAGCACTAAGAATCTTAATAATCATTTTAAAGAAATTGAAATATGTCTACGTTTGGATCAACTCGCGTTTTACTTATATTTGGTGTACTGAAATGTGAAGCTACATAACGATGTCTTATAATTAATTTAATATAAAGGTTCGTAATACATAATTAAATGTAAAGAAGAACCATACAAAACCATGTTTTAAATCACGCCTCATGTATGAATTGGTAATTAGGAAATCTAATAGTTCATAAATAAAAAAAATTATAGGTACTATATACTCATTTGCATTTAAGTAGCTGACTATTATAATTTTAATAATTTATGATAACAATTTCATATTTGTATCCCGTAATAGCCAAGAAAAATCATTACAATTTTAGAAATTTAAGAAATTAAAAAAATAAATATCGATTATTTGTATAATTATTATATTTATAGTGCTTATTAATTTATTATACTTAATTGGTTTTAATAAAACACGAAAATGGGTACAACCATATGCTTCTATAATAAGTTTACAGACGTTATCTAATAAAAAACTAACTTTTACAGATATATTTTTATTTGTGTTCTGTACATGCACTTTATTTCTACAAAATATATTTTATTAAACTTGCTATATTATGTGAAAATATATCTTATATCATTAATTAAATTATTTTATTTACAGGGTGATTTGCCAAGCACCCTCAACCCTTTTGTTCTACAATAATACATATATTCAAAATACGATTTTCGGAATTTTTTTTTATCTACTTACAGATCATATTTAAAAATGCTTGATATTCTTTGTACTTCTTAAGGCGTATATTGTAGTTATACAAACTTCTGTTTTTCAAATGAACACCCAATACTAAATTATTATTGGATATTTTACTGTTTTGCATATTTTATGTAACTATAAATCAAAGTTTAAATAAGTATGTTTCCAGTTGTTAAAAAGTTTAAACTTAAAAGTCTTTAAAAACGATTTTACAAAAATATAAAGGAGATGTAACAGTGGATACAAGAAAGTTTATTACGCTTGGACCATGTTCACAAATTATTAATGCTGATCGATTAATATTAATCACTACTATTTTCAAATCACCATAGACTCCATATCTTTCAAACCCATTATCCTTAATACACAAAGTCGAATAACTCAAAAACTGTTCGGTTGTAGTACAGTTTTCCCAATCCGTTTTTCGTTTTTCCCAATCAATTTTTTCTAATACATTTTTCCCAACTTAAACATTTCCAAATCTAATATTCCCAATCTAATTTCTTCAATTTCAATATTTACCAAAAATATATTATCCCAATATATATTTTTACAAATTTAATATTTCCCCCCAAAAAAAAACCGACACTGAGTGCATGTTACGACAACTAAATCTGGGACAAAAAATAAGGAATGGTCGTAATATGGTACGACTAAAAGTAGAGGAACGAATACATATTATTGTTTCAAAGTATGACGAATTTGTTAATAACAATGATATTATTGCATATCTCACGGCCATTGGTCATAATTTAAAATTTTAATACAGTTTTATTTATTTATACTATTTTTTTACTATACTTGTACATTTTAAAATTAACAATTTGTTAATTATTTGTATAATAATTAATAATTTAATAATTTTAACTACTTTTTTTATAATACATGCTTATACATTTTAAAATTAACAATAAATAATTTCTTATATTTGGTAAGATCGTATAATGATAGATTTGATATTATGAAAAAGAACTTTTGGGGAAAAAAAAATGTGAAAAACCGTTTGGGAATAGTGTCTCCCTACCCCAAAAGACACTCGTTGAGTGGTACTTATAAATCTCAAGAATTTTAAAATTCGGACTTTAAATATATATTTAACATTTCTGAAAGTTAAATTTTAAATAACTATACCTTTCGGATAAAAAATTGCGGTGAGCGACTTTGTGAATCACTCTGTTCATAATAAGATATATTTTCATATACTCTTTAGTATTTTCTTAAAATATTAAACGATCTTAAGTTAAATATTATAAGCTGTGATTACATTTTTAAAAATATTTGGATAGGTAGTTAACCAATATTCTGTTGAGATTTTTGAAAACATTTTTCACTATTTGTACAAGAAAACGTGAAATGTTAATACAAGCTGTTAACTCTTATGGTAATATTATTTTAATTTATAACTCCATATTCAAAATATCTGGAAAATCGTGCTCATTAAATATTTTTTTGAGAGTATTGAAGATTTAAATGTTAGTGAAATCAATTAATTTATATACTATAGGAATATTATGGTGTTCTTTATTTTTATATTTAATATGACGTAATAGAACTCGTGATTTTTCGTTAAAATATTTGAAATTCAATTTCTTTGTTTCATTATTGTAACAGCTAAACATAACGCATTCACGTAAAAATTAATATTATTCTTAGATTTACACTAACGCTTACAGTTTTATGAATACATAAATAATTAATTTAACCACGTTCAAAAACGTTATTCAAACGAGACGATTAATTATGATAATAACTATTAATTGCTCTCCTATAGTCTGATCCATGATCCATAACATACCCCTAATATAGTAAGGTATGTAAATACATCTGAACGCTTACTACGCACAGACGAGCACCTACCTAGAAATGCCTATAAACACAAAGTCATATTATTCTGTCCACGTCTTTATACCACCGCAACACTATACTGTTAGTAATCATTTTTATGGGAGAAAACATTTGTAAGATGTTTTTTGGCACACATAAACGCATAGTTCAGCGGTGAGTTCAATAAATTGTTGCAGACGATTTATATAATTGCATATAATATTGTGTATAAGTATATAATGTATACATTATATAAAAAATGTACTAGGTATAATAATAGCGATTGCATATTTTGCACCACAACTGGTAACTGAATATGATGACTATGTGAGTGCAGACACAATATGATCCGTATATTCAATATGAAGACGTGAGCATTAAAACGAGATAAGAAAAAAATAAGTCTACCAAACGCAAGCACCAAAATCACTGCACCGGATCGTACTTCATCCCAGATATTAAATTTAGAACCATGGACGTTTATAATCTGAATCGACAGTATTAATGTATATATTATCATGGTTGCGATAGGCGATCAGAGTTGTTGTGTCATAACGTTATCGAGTTATCTATATCGTACAATCGAACCAATAGTGAAAATTCATTTCACAAAATAATGGAAACGTTTTGATGCATTTATTATTTAATGAACAAAACCATAGATTTTTAAGATTATGTATTACGCATGATTGACGAATTTGAATATTATGATATGTATAAAATATTAAACTATTGATATTTCTGTACAATATTCTTAGCATGCTATTGTCCTAATAATTTTGGAGCAAATGATATGCATACGTATTTTTATATATGTTGTGTTATTATGTCATATAATAATATACAGAAAATGCAATGTAGGTAGGTCCAACTATTGGTATATTATATCTGTATGCATAAAATGTGTTGCACGGCACACGCGCGAGCGTATAAAATATATTATAATAATCGCATTTGACTGCATATGGGATTTCCAGTTTCCACCGATCGTGTGGAAAAAAAAATAATCCGTGTCCGGGGTCAAACGCGGCATCCTCGGGACCTTGACCGCTGGACCCCGGGCTCATATACGTAATACGGTTTTTATCTTATGATTTTTTTTTCGTTTCGCTCGTACCTACCACCGCCGCCGCCGCCGTCATCTTCTTTTTGGCTGCGGCGGCGGCGTTAAAGTCTCCCGGTGCAGACCGGTCCGGCTTTCGCTATATATAAGACCGAAACACCAACGGTTCGTACTCTTTACGCCGGAACAAACCAGTCCGCAAACAACGCACCCGCGATTGTTATCGCACATACCCACACACACACACTGAGGTACACGTTCACTCTCGTCTGCCGCGTCGTCTCGCACATAACATTTACAATAAAAATATACACATTCACGCACGCGAACGCAACATAGCTCCGGTCGTTCGGGTTCCAGTAGGATAACCCATACGAGCATCCGGACGCCATGCGCCCGCAACGGGACGGCAAAATGTTTCCGAGACCGCATACAAACGTGAGTACTTATATGTATATTATTATTGCCGTGAAACATTATATCATATTATACCCGATTGGAAGATTTATCGTTCAAAAATTAAAAAAAAACACATTATAACGAAAAGACTTTTTTTTAGAACAATAATAGGAACTTGAAGTTGTATACAACTATAGCTTCTTAAAATAATGCATGCATAAAATGCAAGTTATAATAAATGATAAACATGCATATTATAATATTAGGTACCTATTTAACAGATAATATTATTTAACTAAAAAGTAATTTTCTTAAAATATATAAGAAAAGTATTAAAATGGTATTAATTATTAAATCACAAGCGTTAAATTAAAAACCATTAATATTACTTTATTTTGGCGTATTTAAAATTGGGTTTTTATAGATTTAAAATCACCACCTGAAATTTTTGCATAAGTACCTACCTATAAATATTACATGTCAAAAAATAAAAATATGATCTTCAATCAATATTAAATTATGTTTGGAAGAATAAAATCTATACCATATTTATAATAATACTGCTGTTTTAATACATTTTAAATTGTATAACAATTATCATCGTAATGGTACCTGCACTAATCTGTTAAAATATTGAACAGGCTACTATTTTGAAATATTTTAAAGTATAAGGAGGATAATATTCTACAATGACGAAATACCTAGATTAATTACTAACTTAATTAAATATTCATGAAAGATATAAAAAAAAATGATTGACTTCGAACAACGACTCCCCAAACTCAAATTAGTTATAACTTATAGCTCATCAATAATTTCGACGGCATTACACACATATTATATACATTAAAAATAAAAATAAACAACATCGGTAACATATTTTTAACATCAAAATCGTTTTGTTATTTTGGATATAGTCAGTTAATAAAAATAAGTTCAAGTGTAACAAATTATATTTGATAAAAAATAGAATAAAACAAAATAGTAGATATGTATTATTTTTATAATTATTTTGAATTCACGTATGACTAATGTCAGTTTTATAATACATATATGGTAACATAATTTAGGTATTTTAGAATTTACACAAATAGACTATAGACAATCGCTGAGATAAAGTTGTTGTTCATTTTAGTCATGTAATTTAAGATATGTGTTTCCGCCATATGTAAATTGATAACTATAACACTGTGGTCAAATAAACCCGTGGTCAGTGCAAAAACGTTCTACAACCGCGTTTGACCAGCTTTTTTTCGTTGAAATTTGCTGATAATTCGATATGTTAACGTAATACTGTGTACAGCGAGGAAAAACTAAAATAAACGCAAAAATTGATTGGAAAAAAAGTGAATAGAGTTTCAATGGTCTTAAACGCATTGTTTCACACATAAGGAAAGTCAAGAAATAACGAAGGTATACTTTAAATATTGTGAAATTTACTTTTTTTAAATATTAATTTATTAGAATACCTATTAATTTTTATTCATCCCTTGTATTTTATATTTTATTAGTCATGGATAATTAATTCGATTCATTTTTATCATGTAATTCGTATAATATATATTTTAATTAACTATACGTAATTACGTATTTATTTAATTAATTTATCGTTTTTTGTACTTTCGTTGGATACTCTATTACTTAAAATGTACAATATTTATATTAAACCAATAAATACATTTTAGAAAAAAAAACGACACGAATATTCAAGCATGGGTTATTATTTACCTGCCAACTAATATTGTCTAAAATCTGGTATGGTCATCCTAGTTCTGTTAATCCAACTTGCATTATAATTTTTTTTAAATGATAAATGTAAAAAATGATAAAAAATACATTAATTAAATTAAATTAAATTTTAAATATAGGTACTAAATGATTATTATAATTTATGTTAGTATCTTTAGTAACCAGTAAGTACTAGTATGTAGGGAGTATAAATGATTAAAAATGACTATGATTTAATTTATGATAGATATTATTACAGGTTTTAACATCATAATCCAGCGTTTATCTAAGTAAAAATTCTTCAATAGATAATGATGTAAATATGTAATAGGCACTACCTATATTTATTAAAGAATATATTTAAATTAGACTCTAATGTATTCATTATTTTTCACAAAAAACTGAGGATTACATTTTTTTTCTAAAACTCGTTTATAAATTAACACGGATGTCGAGACCCAAGACCTATCAGCTTATAAAGAATAATATTATTGTCTATCACCGACGTTTATAATGTATTCAATAATGACATGGTGGTAATAAATTATTGAGTCGTAATTGAAGATGCGAACGAATGTAACATTGATCTAGGTCGTAATCAAGGTGTGACATCTAGGTAACCTTCTTACACTATCTTTCCTTATAATTTTAATGATGATATACATAAATTGCTCAATAAGTGTTTTTATTGTTTTAATATCCACTTATCTAAATATGCATTACAAGTTACCGTTACTCGAATTTGATATTTATACATTTTCAATGTTTTTTTTTGAAAAAAATGTCAAAATAATATAAATAATTGTTTCTAGGGTTTAGCTTGAATCGTTAAACTAAGAATATTTATTTTACTGTTTACCTAATTTGTAATTTAGTCCATTGTCATACACAATGCACACAATTTATTACATGCAATTGGCATACATTCAATCTATTAGTTAATACCAAGTATTGAAATTTAGTTTAAATTATCAATTACTTTATTCATTAAATTCATATGAATATTAAAATAGCTTCTCTCAAACAGATTTTCAAACTTATAATTTCTGACTCTGCATAATAATTTATTCTATACATTATTAAAAACTGCAAACAAATTCCTAGTTTTTAAAACTACGGGTTATAATAAATTAAAACTACGAAATCATAATGGCATTTTTTATTAACTGGTTTGGTCACTATTTTCCTAATCATTAAATCATATACTGTAATAAAATGTTAAATAATAATGGATTGTATCAAAAACTTCGGAAATATAAACATTATTTATGCATCTGAAATTGTTTGTATTCCAATAAATTGAAAATCCAATTACGTAATATTATGTTATTATACAATTTTAATTTCAGAATACTTTAATTGATTATAAAAAGTAACTATTTTGTTGAATATAAAGTATTCTTGAATTTAATTTTAAAAGTTTTAAATATTGCAGCTCATACACTGCAGTGTCAAATAAAAATGAAATCAATTATTTTTAAATATAGGTATACCTTAATTATTTAATGAGTGTAATATTGTTACCGTTAAAATAGTAAGTGCGTTAAAAATGTATTTAGGTAATTTTAATTAAAATTGAATTACAATCATTAATAAAATACATACATAATATATATTATATTCTTGTTTGGTGTCTAGTTTTATACTATTACCACAATATTTGTCTTAATATTTCACAACTCGATTTAAAATCTCTTCTTATGTTGTATTATATACGATTTTTTTTTTCTAAATTCGTTTTTGTTAATTTGCATTGAAACATAATTATTTAGTATTTATCAAACTGATTGATTGTATAAAAATTTGATTACAATATTCTACAGTCTCGATAATAATTCCCATCTATGTAAAAAACATTGTTTAAATCTCTAAGTTCAAAGTTGTTTGTGATCAAATTAAGTTATGTTTATTTATTATGATATGGACTTTGTAGAGTACCTATTATAATAACACCATTAATTGTCACGTAGGTACCCTACAGCTAAATATTGCATGACACCGTTATTTTTAGACTACACTCAGTAACCTCGGGTCACGTGTTATTTGCATATAACATATTTTTTATAATGATAATTCGTCGAATTGTTCGTTCGTGTGTATTGGATATTATACCTATACCACCGACATGCTAATAATGACAAAGTTTATTAATCGTGAATCAGATAAATCTTGGAAGTTAGATTTATCTGTCTGCAGTTTGTATAGGTATAACATTTGACATTGTGCCATAACACACATTCAAGATTAATACCTTAAGCCACGACAACATAATTTATTTTTATAACATGATATATGTATGGCAAGAATCGATACCTATGTGGCGTGTAATGTTTTTTAAAAGTGCAAAACTAATTCGTTTTAATCAATATTTTCGGGAATCTCTATTAGAGTTTTAATCCAAAACATTACGGTCGGGTTGTAACGTTTTGGTTTACGTTTTGATGTCTTCAGTTTAATCAATTTTTACCGAGCAAAATATAAATAATTTGTCAATATACGCTTTTGACACGTTTCGTTGTAATAATAATTTACGTAATAGCATGTTCTGTAATATTTTTCGGATAGCGTCTCTCCTGGATAGGAAATAAATAAACTACAACGTTCAAAACCAATTTATTGAAAACGTCGTTCTTTCAACTCCCCGTTGACTGAATAGTAAACAAATCATCTTATTATTTATTGATTATTTAAAGACCATTGGGCTGAATAGTTGCGTTAGTACCTATATAATAATATATAGATACTAGACACGATGCGTAGGTTAAACTTATACCGCATCAAATGCCAATCGATAACGCACTGTTGGGCGGCTCTTTATATAGCCGATATTATTAAAAACGGTATAGCTGCATCGTCAAATATTGATTCAGCCTGATAATGATATGTTTGTACCTACGACATAATATTATATTATATGTTGTTATATGTGTGAACACTGCAAAAACAGAAACTCAATAATGAGTAATAATCACTGCCGTGAATCTGCAGGTGTTCGTTTATATCACGTGGACCTTTCGTCCGTGCGCTCATTAAATTATAAAAACGTTAGAGACGTTAGAGACCTAAGACATATTAATAATGGTTGACTAACGATTCTCGTAACATGGCTCGTGGGAAGTCCGACAAGCTTATAAGGGATGAGAGGCGTAGGCGTAGAGATAGGTGGTTTGAAAATTGTAATTTTTAACGCAAGTCTGAAATTTTATGGAATTAACGTGTTATTGATCATTATGTGTAGGAGGTTGCAAATATTCCAGTTTTCCCGTCCTGCGTGAGTGATTTTGACGCGTCGGTGTCAAAATATTTACGAT